TTGGAGGTTTGTCGTTACCATCCCTGCAGCTTTATTATTGGTCAGCACAACTTAAAATCATATCAAATTGGTTTATGAATAGAAAGAACGCTTTATGGTTAGATCTGGAGTCACAATCTTGTCTCCCCAGCAAACTTAATTCTCTTTTTTTTATAAGTGGCATAGACCAAATGGCTCATCTCAGAAGTAGCTTCATTGTTTATAATACTTTGCTTGCCTGGCGAGATGTGAGGAAATATCTAAATATCTCTCCCATCATTTCTTCCTGGTCATCGTTAACTTTGAACCCAGATTTACCGGCAGAGATTAGAAGCATTGGCTTGTCTGAATGGTCATCTCGGGGACTGTCAAATATTATGGACATGTTGGACTCTGACTCTGTTAAATCCTTTGAACAAATTACAGCTAATTTCAATATTTCTAATAGAGATTTCTATAAATACCTACAGATCCGCCACTTTGTGAGCTCTCTTTGGAGGACAGGAAAATTACGTACAAAATTGTCAGAGTTAGAGAATATGATTATCATGACCAAATCTCCCAAAGGACTTATCTCTAAGATATATTGTTTACTTTCTGGCTCTGACTCCTCAGGTTATGATGCTATGAAGCTGGTGTGGGAGCGTGACCTAGGACTGACGTTTGATCTGGCAGATTGGGAAGAAATCTGTGATGGGGTCTTTCCCAAATCCACCTCAGTCTCTTTACATGAGCAGAACTTTAAATTCTTTCACCGAACTTATTATACACCTGTTCGCCTTAGGAAGATGTTTCCTGATGCTTCAGATATGTGTCATAAATGCAAAATACATAGGGGCACATTTATTCATTTATTTTGGTCTTGCAATTATATTCAAACTTTCTGGAAAAGAGTTCATCTCATGATACAAGAGATCATTGGTAAACAGTTCTCACTAACTCCTTCCTTCTATCTCTTTAACCATGCTTCAGACATTCTACTTAATGCAGACACTAAACATCTGCTTGCAATCCTTTTATTTCTGGCCAAGAAATGTATACTATTGAGATGGTCAGCACCACAGGCCCCTACAGTTGATATGTGGATATCGCAGATTTCTGCTATTGTCTCAGTTGAAAAACTTACTCATGACCTTCATCAAAAGTCGGACAAATTTTTGAGGATCTGGGCCCCACTGCAATCCTTTTTACAGAGGCTGTAAAAAAATGTCTTCTCTTTTTAATTTTAATTTAATCTCTTTTCTTTTCTCAATATATTCAGTATATCACTCATTTGACTGTCTGACAGTTGTGACTATTTTGAATCATGACTGCTGTATTTTGTGTATGTGGGCTGTATGCATGTATGTTTTAATTTTTTCATGTGGACTTTGCAGTGCTCCGTGTTGTTTTGGGGTGGGTTGTCTTTGTTTAATTTTGTTGATGTTTATATAAAGTTATGAAAATCAATAAAAAAAAAATTAAAAAAAAAAAAAAAAAAACATAAAGAACTCTTGGTTTGAATAAAAAATCTTTGTGTTTTGAGGAAAAAAAGCACATCATACATATTGTAAACATAAGGAGATGTTGTGTTATATTCAGCCCAGGGCTAGTTGTCCTCACACTGAGCTCATATCTGTGAATCAAACCAATCGTGTACCTAAACCGAAGAGAATAAATGAAATGGAAATGTGGAGTGAGGAGTTGATCTGTTTCTGGGGTGGAGGCCGATAGCAGGAACGATCTGGAAGCCTTTTCTCCGTTATTGCTTCTTAAGGAGGTCACGCCAGATTCCGAGAGCAAAGGTGCCTTTCACCGATATGCTGAACGATTCCCCCGGGGAGATGAAGAGCCAATTAAAATACGCTTTTCTTTACTGCAACAGGGTTTTTCTTCATCTGCTGGCGGGAATCTCGTGACATTCCAGGTCATATTTATGCAGAAATATAGATCATTTGAAAGTTTTACACACAAGCTCCATTTATGTCTGTTTTTATTCTAACATAGTTTGTCTTTGTATAGAAAATCCCTCAAATACGCTATATAAGTTTGACATATTTACACAACTATTAGTCATTTTAACATGAACATTTCTGATTAAGTTTATCGTAAAAAAAAAGGAATATACATTTCAACCCTTTAAAGCCTGATCCAAGAAAAATAGGAAGAATATTGGATTTTTTTAGTCTGAAGTCTTTCTTTGGCCCCTCAACAACATATGAAGAAAAAAAAACAGAGATTATTTTGATCAAATTAGCGTGCAATAAGTCAGAAATCTATGTTGGTGTAGTCTTCTACTGGCTGTTATCAGGTATATCTGAATGTGTACAACAGGGGTTTGAGCAAAGCTTTTACCACTGAATGATGCAGAAAGTCTCACATCCAAAAGAAACCCGATCAGATATGACACATTTGGTATTATAGGGTTAAATGATTTGATCTTCTGACTGAATGGATTAAGAAAAGTAGTGGAAAAGTCGTAAGTCTGAAACAATTTGATCAGAAACCGTGATGTTTTAGTAACACAAAAAACTGTATTTCATCACCAAACACTCATTGTTTTCATGACGCTTGTCTTTTATATGTAATAAATAAATAAATAAATAAATAAATAAATAAATAAATAAATAAACAAACAAATAAATAAATAAATAGATAAACAAACAAACAAATAAATAAATAGATAAATAAATAAATAAATAAATAAATAAATAAATAAATAAATAAATAAATAAATAAATAAATAAATAAATCGATCAATGTTCTCTGTATGGGTCCATTTGAACCATATCATTGTTTACCGGTTTTTAAATGACGTCCCCTGTGTTGAACCAACTTAGCTGAAGACTCTCGTGTCAAAACCCATCCAAAATACACTCTCATTCTCTATTTTTCATCATTTTTTTCGCCACTGATTTAGAGTCCAATCCATCACGGTTCTAAGGACGACGTTTATAGATCGCTGGAGCGTCTCCAGAGACTTTCCCTTCATCTCCGATTGTCGATCTTGTTTTCCTGCTTCTGTCTCCACATTATCTGTCTGAGCTGGGGGCCACTTCCCTCAAACATTACAGTCCATCAAACGTGGGTCAAACCTAAACTCACACCAGACCCTTAAACTGGGCTGTCACTCCGAGATGATCAGGGATTTACCCAGAGCCAGATGTTCATTATACAGTGGGGGAAATAAGTATTTGACCCCTTGCTGATTTTGCAGGTTTGCCCACTTACAAAGAATGCAACGATCTATAACTTTAATCATATGTACATTCTAACAGTGAAAGACAGAATCCTAAAGAAAATTCCAGGAAAATCACATCATATGAATTTATAAAAATTGATAACCATCTGATGAGGAAAAATAAGCATTCTTTGTAAGTGGGCAAACCTGCAAAATCAGCAAGGGGTCAAATACTTATTTCCCCCACTGTAGGTCGGGTCAAACTCCTCCAATCGATATCGTAAAAATATACCAGATCCCATCTGGGATTATTAAAGTATTTCTGATTCTGATTCTGATTCTGATTCTGATCTGTGGCTAACGAGTGGTTCACCTCTCCGTCAATCAATTTTTGAACTGTTTCAAAGTGTGTTTCGTTCATCTATGGGACAAAACTAAACTGAAATGCTCTCAGTGTGTGCACAGATAATAAAGTACTTTATTAAAAGTACTAAAACCATTTTTTTTTAAACATCACAGCTTAAAGAATGACTGTAAACAGGCACAGTAACACTGTTCCACACCATCACCAAACGCCTCTGAAATCAGCTTGTTCCCTTAAAGAAAAGTGAAGTTTAACACTCTGTTTTAGTGTTTCCAGCTAGTTTAGGACCCAAGTCAGTCCTAAACTTACATTCGACCCTTAAACTGGGCTGTCACTCTGAGATGATCTGGGATCTTTGTGAATTTACCCAGAGCCAGATGTTCATTATAGGTCAGGTCAAACTCCTCCAATCGATCTCGTAAAAATATACCAGAACCCATCTGGGATTATTAAAGTATTTCTGATTCTGATTCTGATTCTGATCTGTGGCTAACGAGTGAAGGTTCAGCTCTCCGTCAATCGATTTTTGAACAGTTTCAAAGTGTGTTTCGTTCATCTTTGGGACAAAACTAAACTGAAATACTCTCAGTATATGCACAGATAATAAAGTACTTTGAGATTAGCCTTAAAACCAAATATTTATTTAATTCACTTCAGACTGAGTCACTGACGCTAACTTCTGTATTTAGCCGTTAGCTCCACATAAAGCCGGTTATTTACTGTAAGTTTGTTCTCCAGATGCTGAAGGCTGTTGTTTATGTCAGAAGTTGGTGATTTTAGGAGGGAGGACTCATTCGCGGAGATTCAGAAAACAGGGTTTATTGCAACAAAAACTCACTCATGGAGTGGATGGTGACAAAGTTCAAAACAAGGCTGTGAGAAAACTATGATCAAAGTAGCAAAGCAAGATAAACATGGCTGTGGCAAAAGTATCAAAACAAGACTATGGCAAAACAAGGTTAATAAGACTGTGGCAAAACAAGGCTATGACAAAAACTATGATCAAAGTAGCAAAACAAGGTTATCAAGACTGTGGCAAAACAAGGCTGTGACAAAAACTATGATCAAAGTAGCAAAGCAAGATAAACATAGCTGTGGCAAAAGTATCAAAACAAGACTATGGCAAAACAAGGCTATGACAAAAACTATGATCAAAGTAGCAAAGCAAGATAAACATGGCTGTGGCAAAAGTATCAAAACAAGACTATGGCAAAACAAGACTATGACAAAAACTATGATCAAAGTAGCAAAGCAAGGTAAACATGGCTGTGGCAAAAGTATCAAAACAAGACTATGGCAAAACAAGGTTAACAAGACTGTGGCAAAACAAGGCTGTGACAAAAACATGGCTGTGGTACAAA